ATACTGAGAAGAACGGAATCCAGTTTCTCTCGATGAACTTCGTCGAATTTATTTTGAATTTTTTGAATTTCAAAAAATCTCTTTGGTTGTTTCGACTTAGGCCTTAGAAGTTAACCGCTTTGGCCCATTAAGGCTCTTCCTAAATTACTTTTTAACAACTTTTAATATGCATATATATATATATATATATATATATATACTTTAAATCTTTCAAAGTCTAAAAACAAAAGTAATTTATAACATGTAAATCTGAATAATTTTATGCCAAAATTTCTACAATTAAAATAAAACTGGTTTAGTTTGAATATTTGGATGGATCATCAATTAATCTTTCAAGTCATTTTGGTGTTTTTAGCTCTTTTAAATGGTTACTTTTGAATATCTATATATTTATTTTCACGTATTTTAAAACATGCAGCTTTTATAAAAAGATTTAATATTATATTTAACATTTAGTAATGCCTATTGTAATCTTCAAGGTAGTAATACTACCATACATGTAGTAATACTTTGGCAATTTTTACGTATATCTAGTAAAACCATCTCAAAAAAGAACGTTTGGTAGTAAATGGTAATCTTTCAAGTCATTTTTGTGTTTTTAGCTCTTTTAAATGGTTACTTTTGAATATCTATATATTTATTTTCACGTATTTTAGACAATTTCAAAAATGGCAATTCCCCATAGTAGACTCTTTTAAATTTTTATCTCAAAACTAGCACATAAAGCTGAAAGTCCCAAAACTAACATTCATTAATTCGCGGAATGACCTTCTTACCTTTGTTTTGTATTAAAAAAATAGAAGGATAAAAAAAAAGACGAAACCTCTTCTATCTCTCTCTCACGACAAGTAATGGAACTAGCACACACAAACACTCATTTACCAGGTCAGATTTAGATCCAAAATCCAATAATTTGTTGATAACATTTAATTTTCTTTCTCAAATATGATATATGGAAAAGCTTTTGAGTGGCGTGGATCTCACTCGCGACAACTTTTTCTGTCTACCGAAAATATTAACCGCGTGGGTGGAGGCTCTCCGGGCGCCGGCGTCTACATCGGTCACCGTGGGTTGCTCTCCCACCCCTCCTTCTATCGGCATCCGAGCAAAACGTCGGAACAAGTAAGTCTCCGGCGAGTCTCAGAAGTACTCTCCATCTCTTCTCTCGGCGATTCGGTTAGGCCTTGTGGCGGTGGCCTCCATGGGAGCCCGGTGGCTCTGGTGGCTCGACGGTGCCTGTGGCTCTGCGCTCTATTTGAGGACGGCGGAGGCGTGTCCGGAAACTTCAAGTTAGACATTGGGGCCTAGGGTTTCTGCTTCCGGATCTTCGAGGGATCTCGTGGCGGCGGTGCAACCTTTGGGGATGGCGGTTCCTCGGAGTGAGTCTCCTCTGTCGTGGCTTCCTTCTCGATACAGAGGCGACAGCAGGGTCGTACGTGGTTAATCGGACCTGTGGATTGGTGATGCTTAAGGTATGAGCGGCGGCTAGGGATTTGGGGTTCGGGTCAAACTAAATACGGCGTTGGGGCCGGGGATCTCCTCCGACGGTGGTCTTGCTGGCAGTGACGTCGATTGTACAAAGGCTGGTTTGGACACCTGGCCGATGGAAGTCGCAACTTCTAGATTCACTGACCTTCGGTGTTCATCAGAGTTGAAGCTTAGCTTCATCAGACTTCTTTCCCTCATCTGAATCTTCTAGTTGTTTGTTTCTCTGCTTTGATTGTGTTTGTTGGATCTCCTGTAACTTATTGCCACTGTTTCTCCAGTTAGTCGGAAATGATGTACTGTTGTTCACATCCCCGATTTTGGGCTGAAAAATTAATATAATATATTTAAAAATTAAAAAATTAAAAAACAATATGATATATGGCGTTTTTGTACATTATTAGGCATTTGTTTTAGTCATTTTAGTGTATAAATATTGCATTTAGGAGTTATTAAGAGTTTCATATGTATAAATTGCATACACAGGGGCTTGGAGTACACAATCAAGAGTTTTGGGGAGAAATCAAGGATTAAACTGCAAAAACTGAAAGTTTTGGGCTCAAACCCGAAACTTGGCAAAACCCAGGGACCTGTACTGCAATAACCGCAAAAGGTGGAACTTTCTACCGGGATATTAACTCCATATACCCCATATCCTCGTAAACTCATTCTTACTACCCATCTCTATACTTCTTACCCTTTTATCCGTGTACTCTCCAAAATAACCTTTCATTTAATTAAATCAACCATAATTTATCTACCTATATGGCTCACAAGACAATATTAACCAATAGGATTTCATTTGGCCCATATCTCTTTTTCTTCCACGTATTCTCTCTTCTTCCTCAACCTCCATTGTCGAATTTGAAGCTTCCAAAAACAAGTAATTCTTATTCATTTTCGATGATTTTTTTTTTTGTGAATAACATTTAAATGTCGTGTATATCCTGGGTAGTGTATAAAATGTATGATTAGATGATAATTTGACAGATTAAAAAGCGAAGTTAAAAACTGTATTTAGGGATTTTGGGTATATTTTGTGTCTGTTTTGATGATTTTTTTTGCTGAAATGTTATTAAAAACAAGTATATATCTCGGCTAGTTTTTTTTTTCTTTTAAAAAAAAAAAGAAAATTCAGTGAAAATTATGAGAGATTAAAAAAGATTTTGAAAACTGGATTTATAGATTTTGGGTATATTGCATGTCTGTTTTGATGATTTTATGTGTGTAATTTCATTTAAGATGAATTATACATCATGGGTAATGTAAAATCTTAAAAATATCGTCCTAAAAGCGGATTCGTTAATGCAAGGATAAGTTCTGGGTATTACGAAGATAACTGGTTTTACTAAGGCAAAATAGTTTTAAATTACTAGAATTACTATATTTAGAATTCCGACTTGTATTATTAGTATTACTATGTATAGTACTGAAATAAATTAGTATTAGTAAGAGAAGATTGTCCGGTCTGAGAATTAATTCTANGGTTTTACTAAGGCAAAATAGTTTTAAATTACTAGAATTACTATATTTAGAATTCCGACTTGTATTATTAGTATTACTATGTATAGTACTGAAATAAATTAGTATTAGTAAGAGAAGATTGTCCGGTCTGAGAATTAATTCTAAGCATCTAATAATGATAATTCTAATGATATTCTATTTTACTTTAGAAAAATGAAAATCCGCATTGCACATTAATTTTTTTTGATTATGGGGGATATTATATGAAATATGTGGCTGAAATAAAATGGATCTCGGGAGATGGTGAAGGAGAAGATGAGATTCACACGATTGTGTTGAGGAAATCCATGGAAGAGTTCACTTACTTTAGTTTGGTTGAGCGTATTTGCAGAAAGATAAAGGTAGTGTAATCTAAGGTGCAAGTGAAGACTAGTTACTTTAATGGTATTGTATTCGTACTCGCAATTTGGACTACTATGGATTACTGGAATTATTATGTGCAATTTAGACTACTAGGTATTACTGGTATTATTATGTGCAATTCCAAACCAATATATATTACTAGGTAAATTGTTTGTCATCCTATTTTCTATGATTATTTTTAATTCTTAGGCTACGTATATAATATATATATAGATATATATTGATTAAACTATTTTTATGATTATTTTCAATAGCTTCGAAAAATCTTAACGGTTTTTTCCAAAAAATTCCTTAACTTTCATTGTTAGTATGTGAATGGTTAGAATATAGTAAAGAGAATTTAACAAAATATGTATTTCTGGTAAACTGTTTATGTAAATGTCTTTTATAACGATAATAATAGGGTAAAATCATTAGTTTTACTACCAAACGTTCTTTTTTGAGATGGTTTTACTAGATATACGTAAAAATTGCCAAAGTATTACTACATGTATGGTAGTATTATTACCTTGAAGATTACTATAGGCATTACTAAATGTTAAATATAATATTAAATCTTTTTATAACAGCTGCATGTTTTACATGTGAAATGCATTTTTAATTTTTTTAATAATATATATATATTCTCACGTTTTACATGTGTTTACTAGTTTTTGTATATATATTTTTAGTGTCTAGTGATAAATAAAATGTGTTTGTAGAAGAATTTTTTTTTAAAAATCTACT